CCGTGTGGCCCAGAGGCTATACACTACAGCCACTAGACTCACTAGACTCGCGCAGCGCAAGTTGCAATTGACTTTAGTTAGTGAGCTCTGACTCTAGTGACAGGAGTTCAGCTAGTGATGAGTACGGGCGGTAGCTGTACTTGTACCTGGTACCTTCGAGAATCCGGGGACTCAATTGAACACTCCCCCATGGTAGTCAGTCACATTTCACACCACAGCCAAGCCGGCGCAAGAGCAACATGCCGAATAATCATGCCCGGCAGACCGGCCACGTGACTGCATCATCCAGTCCGACAGGTCTATGTTCAGCGACACCACGTGATAGCTGCCAGTGCTGCCGCTGGCTGCCGAAAGGCTGCGCATGAACCTAGGAGACGGAGCAGCCACAGAGCGAGGTACCGCAATGCCGACAAAGGGAGGCTCACCAGGAGTCACAATATCAGAACCAGTTGCATCTGCAGCGCCCAGCACACTATCGAGCAATGCGGCATTATTACAATGACAGATCATGTGCTGCACTCTGGGTTCTGGAACCGGCTGATGGATCCATGAACCCTGAAGTAACCAAATGCATTAATAATCTTTCGACCGCAACTCTTAAACCCTGGCCCTCAAGGCCCCAAAGATCGTAATCCCACTCGTCTCTTCCAGCACCTGGATACTATTGAGTTAGTAGCTTAGTAGTGATACTATTGAAAACAATTATGGCTAATTATGGAGTTTAATACGGCGCCCTGGTTTCATTCTTGCCAGGCGAGGTCTGCAAAAGACCTGAAAGCCTTCTGAAAGCGGAGCTGAAGCTTCAAAACTTTTCTCGCTGGAGTGCCATCAGGACAGTGCCGACAGTGCTCGTGGCAACGGAAGTGTTCTGAGCTCAAGCGGGCCAGGTCTGTAGGAACAACATACATACATTGAATCTTTTAGGCGATTTTAGCCTTTAGCCTTAATAACTGTTCTTTTGTTTGTAAGCTAGTGAATCTTATTTGCCGTTAGCCGTTAGGAAACGTGGTCCCTAAACCGCAAAACATTTCTAGGACTCTACGACTAGGACCCCAGGACCTAAGACTCTAGGAGTCTAGTAGCTAACACTCTATAGGACCAGCAATGTAGAGTCTAGACTCTACACTACAGTCTAAAGCGGACTACGTCTATGTGACTACAACACACAATCTGAAATGACATACAATCGTCCCGGAGGATTTCCTCGGGATTCACTGGGCGTCGACCTTCCAGACGAGGAAACTCAAAACAGTTCAGCTTCAAGGCTTTCAAGGTCATGCGAATCGAACACAGGATCTAGGAATCTAGGATGTCGGTTCCGTTGCCCGCCTGATACAACAAGCCCTCCGCGAGCACAGATGAGCAAAGTCCTGGCACATGAGTGGTGAGCCGGCCGGGATTCACCAATGACCGGTTCTGCCCGTCGCCTGTAGTAGATCTTGACCAGTAGGCCCACAAGTCACCTGAAGAAGGAGGCAATTGGGTTTGACCGTGAAGCCTCACTCTCCACAGCTGGTAAGTGCCGGGCTACAGAAGCCGTACAAAATGCTCGTCACAGCCTGAGCTTCACCGCTTGCACTGTCACCACTGTCACCCCCAGGGAGGTCCAGGAATGGGAGCAATAGCATACAACGCAGGCTCTCTTTATCAGCAGCGGAAGTCGCAGTCTTGAGTCGTGACCCCACATGTCCAGAACGCCTACGGCATGATGACGTGCTTTTTTCAAAGCATAATTATTGGCATAATCATCCATTATACTATACAGTGCTTTCGTGATGTTGTCATCAATGCCAACGATGATGGATGGCTTTAGGCCCTGCCCTACAGGCGCCAGGAAGGCACACAGTACACGCAGTCAAAACTGTGCAATCACTGGGTGGGCGTGCTCGGCTGCATCGAAGGCCCCGTCCCAAAACGCCGATAATAGGACAACTGGAAGGTGTCCCCGAAGCATCGTTGCCACGCCCTCTGGAATCTTCCAGGCTCAAGCCCTACACAGAGGGAAAACGTGAAGATCCACAGATCCTGACCCTTTCTGCCAGCCAACCAGAAGTCGAACTGATCAAGGTTTTCAAGGTCAGCAGGGCTCTCAGCAACATCGATGCGGTAGCGGCGCCCGAACGCACGAACCTCTCCGTCAGTGATACCTCCAACTGCACTGCTGAAGCCCGCAGCCCGCACAGAGTCGATGGGATCAGCCATGTAGTGCATCCTGCTGTGGTCCAGTCCAGTGAGCAGCACTATCTGGACGAAAAGAGCATCAAAGGAGGCACCAGCGAAGGGGTCACTCGAGCAAAAATGCAACGGTCCGAAACCCTAAACCCAGAACCCTTTTGCTGCAGGCTTGCAACTTGCAAGCAAGAACGCCTGGTAGTTAGCCACTCGTCCGCCGACTAACACTGTACTCACTGTACTCGTGACAGCGCTTCCAGCTTCCAAACCCTAAACCCTGAACCCTAAACTTAGGCCCTAAACTAAACCCTAAAGTCCCTAAAGCCCTAAACCTAAACCTAAACTTTCTAAACTCGTTGTGTCGTTGGCTCACCACAAAGCTGGAGCAAACCCAATCCCAGTGCAAAGCTCAGAAACGGTGCTCGAGTCGTTGCTCAGGTCGGAGCCTTTCCGCAGCCCCCGGCTAGGCCAGCAACAAAAGGTCCTCGGTGCAGAGTGGCCCAGCGAAAGCTGCCTGGTCATGAGTGTGAGGCGCAGGCTGTGGCTCACCACAAGCCGCCCCCTCTGATCAAGACCTGCCAAGAAGGCAATTGCGAATGGCATGAACTGAGAATGTACTGCTCCAACACACAGCCTCAACCCAGTTCAGTACACAGCCCGACTCCGGATGTAGTCCTGCGGGAGTCCTGTGAGGATGCAACATGGTTCGGATCCGGGAAACGTTCAGAGCAATACTGAGGCTTTGGCTTCGCGAAGAATAAGAATCCAGACAGCCACCTACACCACAGTCTTTATCGCAGCTGGCACTACGGCAACGCACGTGCGAACACACCTGCTTGAGGAGATCCAACTCGAGGCCACCAGACCTACACTACACGTAACAGCCCTTCCGATTCACAGCAATTGTGCAGCGTTGGGTCGCGGGCCGTGGCTCACCAATGGCCCACGAGAGCCAGCTCCTGCAGGTAAACCAATGGCTGAAATGACACGTGATGATGCAAGACCGAGCGTACCTGATGCAGGCCGTTGCGGGCGCAGCTTGAGACTCACCACAAGCTCAGACCTCAAAAGGCAAGACCCTGACCCTGATTCATCAGCTGAGCTGAGCAGCACACCGGCTGGGATGCACCAAGAACTGCTGGCCAGTACCTGCGGATGCCATGCCACGTTGCTGCTACATTGCTGCTACATAATACGTGGCGGCATGGGGCTGGGCGCCCGTACTCATGGCACAGCACGGATTCAGACCTCCAAGGGACGACCCTAACAGAAAGAACAAGGCCGAGTGTCCAGCCTCGCACCATCCTGGGACCACCGATGAGTTTGTCCAGCTTCCTGGGAGATTTGGCAAAGCCAACCATACCTACGTACTTACATACATGAGTAGAAAGTACAGGTGTAGATACCTAGGACCTAGGTTGATATGACTATACGCATACAATCATATATTCACACGGTACTTGATACTTCGTAGAATAGAATCGTATAGTCAGCATAGTCAGTATAGTCGTCTAGTCCGTCTGTGTGTATGCATGTGTACGTCGTGTGTGTATGTATTCAATGCATCCTAATCTAAGTCGTCTGAGTCTAAGCCTAAGCGTACCCCCAGCCGACCCAGCCGAACACCAACCCAGCAGAAAGGAAAATGCATTCAATCTGTCAATCGATCGCGCCTGCTCAGCATCCACCCGATGACATCGTCGTTCGAGTCGATGCTGCTGCCGATGATGTTGAGTTCTGCGCAGACACGACAGACACCGGGCATTGCACGAAATCGCAACCGAGGTGTCACTCGCGACTGCACACGTGGAACTCTGCAGGACGGGAGCTCTGATTAATCAGGCCTGCGCCGAAGGAGTGTTGATCATCTTCATCGTCATGTGGGGCCTTGCAGCGGGGATCGTCAACGGCTTCCCACATTGCTCACTCCACGCTTGAAAACCAAGGACCAGACCCCGTCGTTCAAGCAACAAACGATGATGAGCAGCACGAGCCGCCAAACCTCCAACTCACAAGTCCAAGCAACTTAGAGTTAGACAGTTAGACTTAGACATGGAAGCAGTTGAAGAGATGGTTTCCGAACCGGATTCACGTGACTGCAAGAGAGCGAATCATACGACACATACACACACAGCGGTCAGTATAGTCACTAGTCACTAGCCGCTAGCCGGCGAAGCCCCCTCGCAGCTGCAAGACATCTATATATCTATCGATTTGCGATTTAACCATTTATCTATATAACCATTTAGACACTATAGTCACGATAGTCACTATAATCACGGCCTAATTACGAATCTACGAATCTACCACAATCTACCCTACCAGAATCTAAATCTAACAAGCACGCACCGTGTTTGCGATCCTGCAGAATGTTGGCCGGGCCCGCCTCCGAGGCAAAAGATGTCGATGTAGCCAACGACGTGGTAGCCACAGCCATTAGCCAAGCAAGGGCAATTGAGGAACCACACATCTTTATGCTCGCGGGACGGTCCGGGTTTGGGATTTGTATATAGTAACAATAAACTCAGGTTCGAGGCCCTAGGCTCTGGACTCTCTGCGGCTTGTTGGGCCTTCTCGATAGTCCGTTTAGTCAGTCAGCGCGAGAGCACACGAACATCGCAGCAAATAAATAGCTCAGTAGCGGCAGCAAGCTGGAAACACAAGTCCTATCCCTGAAACCTCCAAGCAAAGCATTAACCTCTCACGCAGGAGATGAAGCACTAGAGTCTAGAGTCTAGAGCACACCGTACCTCGACCGTGCAAGAAGCAGCTACACTGCTACACTATAGCTGAAGGTTAGAAGAATCGGTTAGAATCGGTTAGAAGCTTTATCCGAGCAGCATTTTGTACGGGGAGTCCTGGGTGGTCTTGTCAAAAGGCGCCAGAAAGCCGTCGGTCGTCTCCACGATCATGGTCACAGGACGAAACTTCTTCAGCAGGTCCAGGGCTCCATCAAATGACAACCCTGTTTGGCGATGCTGCATGACGGAGTTCTCGTGAAATCTTTTGGCTCGCATCACCGAAAAAGGATTGCAAGGAGCACCAAGCACAAGGCATTCCGGAGACGGCGCCACACAGCAGCACTGCGACTGAGGGTGCAGGGCACAGCTCTTCCCCTCGAGTTGGTCCCCCAAAGACATGTGCTGGTGCTGAATCTGAGGAGTGTTTGCGAGCTGGAATTTCCTGAAGTCCTCGTTGATCTCGCTGGTGCCAACGCAAACAAAAGGGATCCCGAGCTCCTGCGAGGCGTGTGCTTCCGGTGACACAACGAGCAAAAAGGGAAGGCAACGGATGTTCTTTCAAATCACGACGGGTCACTGCTCTGCCTACCCTGATGACCTAAGGATTCTCGCGGCAACCCAGGGTTCGTCATGACACAAACTATAGGGCGGCAGGTGCTGGCGCACGAAGAGGTCACAAAGTCGTCACAAGTAGGCTAGCATTAAGTATGGTGGGTATTGGTCAGCAACAACCTTCACTAGACTCACGAGATTCTAGATTCTAGACTCTACTGCCTGGCATGGTCAATCCTGGCTATCGGCCAGCGGCAATCCCAGCATCACGACAGCATGGCATACGCACTCACTATCGGATTCACTACCTGAATCTGAATCTGAATCTAAACACTGTAGCTTGGCAGCCACACTTATCTGACCTATGTGGGTAGACTCTGAAGATCTGGATTTAGACGACCAAACAATGGACACGAAGATTATTAATACTGTAGTAACTGTAGTATAATGATCGTAACTCACGTTATCATGCGTCCTTGAAGGCAACAGCTTCCGCACATGACCCACTGCACGCCGACAGGAGCCGCAGCGGCTCTAACCTTTCAGGCACACTGAAGCCCAGAGCTTCAGTGTGCTGCTTCAGCAGTGATGCCCACCAAATCTCGCGAGGCGGCTCCACTGCATCCTCACCATCACTGCTCCCTGAGTCATTCGCCAGAGCCTCTGCTACAGCTGTCTGCGACTCACTGCTTTCCTGCGATGCGCACAGCTTCTCCGCCAGCATGCTCCATGGCATGGCCGACGAGTCGACGAACCCAGTCGACGGACGGCCCGGGAAGAAACTTAACTGGCGGAACTAGCGGAACTTGCGTCACTGGTGTCACTATAGTAACTAACTACGCTGCACTGCTACACGAGTTCGGTCCAAATTTCTGTGCCTTCACAAGCTGAGCTGGTCGCCCTGAATCTACACACTAAAGTCACTAGAGTCTCACTATAGGCTGCTTCCCATGTCTGACTTTGTGTCTACGTCTACGTCACACCTGAGACGGTAAATGCTGCTACCTGCTCACCATCTGGAATCTGGATGACACAATTCTATGCAAATTTCTTGATTGAAAAAGTTCTGGCAAAATCAGCGAATCGAAACATCAGACGCACGTGTGCAGGGTACTATGTAATGAAGAGTCACATGAGTATGTGCAATGCCTGGACACGGATCGGCCCCATCATGAACACCTGGACCAACTCTGCTCTCCCACAAACCTCCTGATTCAATTTGGGGGTTGTTGCAGAATGACTCAACGATCCATCAACCCACTTGACCCCATAGAGCCAGCCATAGATGCCTTCGCTCGTCACATTGTCGCTCCGACGAAGTCGGCTGGAAGAAAAGATCCAGAGTCTACGTCGCCAGGTCACGAGGTCATTATGACTTGACTAGCTGACTAGCAGCTGTAGCTCTAGCTGCGACATACAACTAGTAACTAGTAACTAGTAGCTTAGTAGCTAGCTAGCTGCACTCGCTGACCAGCTAGCTAAAGTTGCCTGACAAGCTGTACCTAGCTGGCTAGCTAGCCGCGGACTCGGGGACTTCGCGGTTTCGAAACATCAAAGTGTTTCGTGAGTTTTGTGTTGGTTTTGGCGTTGTACGGCGCCTACCCGGCCTACCCGCCTACCCTCTTGCAATGGTCCCCCCCAACCTAGCCACCCACTGGGCCTACTAGCGACGAGCCGTTACTAGTAATAGGCTAGTAGCCTAGCGGGCCTAGCAGCAGCTAAGCTCAGGCATTTGAAGTGCAGGCAAGGCCCTGAAGTGGGCGGGGCTGGGGGCGGGGTTTTGGGCTGGGCTGGGCGGCTGGGCTGGCTGGGCGGCTGGGCTGGGCCCGGCACTTGTCGGCCGGGCTGGGCTGGGGTTTGCTGCGGTGCTGCAGTGCTGCGACATTTGGACATAAAACAAGCAGACGGAAGATTCAGAAGCAGGCCCGACTTTTAGTACTTGTTAAGGAAGAACTTCGAGACCCGACTACGTAGCAGCACAGCATTCATGATCCGGTGCAGTGTTTACTTAGGCAAGCGGCTAGATTCTAGATTCCAGGCATTTTCCAGTAGGATTCTAGATCAGGGATAGAGTAATATAGAGTA